AAGGAAGAGAGAGAGAGAAGAAGAAGAAGAAGAAGAAGAAGAAGAAGAAGAAGAAGAAGAAGAAGAAGAAGAAGAAGAAGAAGAAGAAAATGAAAAAAGACAGTTGTTTAAGCAACTGCTTTGTGCCAGATACTGTTTGACATATGGATAGAGGAGCTAGGGACAACGCAGAAATCTCTGCCAAGGACTCTTGTATAGTGTATAGATCGGTAGTAGAACAGCCTGACTTGCTAGGTTCCAACCCCAGCATCTGAAAAAGAAAACAAATCTGCTTTGATTTTGCCTCTTTCTTAAATTCAGAGCCTGAGGCAAGGGTTCAGGGTCAAAAAGGGGGGGCGGGCAATGAAAAAGGTGATTTAAAATAAATTTTAGAAGAACCCAGGCTGGAGATGTAGCTCAGTGGGTAGAATGGCTTGACTCACACACACAGAGCCCTGGGTTCCATCCCCAGTACCACATAAACCAGGTTATAGTGCACAGTTGTCATCCCAGCACTCAAAGGTGGAGGCAAGAGGAGTCCAAGGTCATCCTTGGCTGTGTATTGAGTTCAAGGACAGCCTGGGCTACATGAGAGCCATCTCAAAGAAATAAAAAGAGGCCAAAGTCCAAATAGGGTCTTCCTGAGCAGGTTATGTTTGCAACTGTTCCCCAATTCTAATGAGTCCCAAAGGAGGTGTCACAAAACACCAGAGTTGGTCTAGGAAAGGAAGAGGGCACTGGGATATTTATTTACAACTCCCACTGGCAGCAGGACAGTGGGGACCTGAGGCAGGGATACCTTCCGAGGATAAATGATAAGATGGGGGTAGGGGGAGTGAGGCAGGTCCCACACTGTCTTATTCCCCCGCCCCCAGGAGGAGTATGTGCAGGAGGGCATCCGCTGGACCCCCATCGAATACTTCAACAACAAAGTCGTGTGTGACCTCATCGAAAACAAGCTGGTGAGGACTGAGCTGACTTTAGGAATCTTACCGGGCTTCAGAGCTGAATCAGTGTGTCTGGAAAGGGTTTATGATATCCTAGGGGGCCCATATCTGAAATATCTTCTAGCCACCCCATCCATTGATTCTTCTGCCCACCTGTTCACCTTTGTTTTATTCACTCAGCAAACACTCCCATAGGTAACATTTTCAGTGTGGGGAAGGAAAAAGGGCATGGATTCCCTGCACTCCAGGGTTGGGGGGAGAAGAGAGAAAAGGCAGGGGGAGGGCAGAGGGAAGGGGAGGAAAAAGAGTAGAGAAAGTTCACAATTTGAGCTTGTATTTAGGAGTCCCCTACCAGCCCCCCAGCTTACTCATGGAGGAGCCCAGCCAGGCTGAGCCCGATCTCTGCTCCCCTCAGAACCCCCCAGGCATCATGAGCGTGCTAGATGATGTGTGCGCCACGATGCACGCCACCGGCGGCGGCGCGGACCAGACGCTGCTGCAAAAGCTGCAAGCTGCAGTGGGCACACACGAACACTTCAACAGCTGGAGCGCGGGGTTCGTCATCCATCACTATGCAGGCAAAGTGCGTGGAACCCCCTTCCCTCACAAACCCCAGAGGTTCCAAGTTTGCAAATCCTAGCCTTCTGACTAAATGCTTCCTCCAGAGCGCCCCCTGCTGACCAGAACCAGGGCCTTTCCCTCAAACCGCCTAGACACCCGCCATGTGTCCCCAGTCAGGGCTGCAGACACACACTGGCCTCTAATCGGTTTACCCAATTAACAAGGTAGCTCCTAACAGACAAGACAGATGGAACCCAATTGGGACAATAGGTCACCACGGTTCTTCTATGCTGGCACACACACTGCAGTGCTCAATATAACCCTCTGACGGAAACACATGCACAGTTCCCCAGACCCGTTACAAACAAAATGGGCTGGAGCCTCACCCCTACCTGAGGCTACAGGAATGCCCTAGTTTCTGACCCAAGCTATAGCCACCTTCCCAAGAGTTTTCTGGCTGTTCCCACAACCTCAGCAGGGATAGCAAATAGTCCCAGATGCCCTTAGAGGTATTGTCTGTGTTCCTCAGCCAGGCCTGGAAAAGCCAGGAGGAAGACCACTAAAAGATCTCGCTTGAAACAGCAACCCCAGGCCACTTTCCAGACTGAACCCCCTTTCCCCAAAAATCCACTGCCCAAACTCCAAATAACATCCTAGCCCCAAGATAGCCACACACATCTATAATCCCAGCACTTGGAAAATGGAAACAGAAAGAACAGAGCCATCCTTGACTATATAGGGACTTTGAGGCCATCCTGAACTACCTGATACCTTGGGG